ATGAAGAGATGGTTTGTGACCACAATTCTCTATGAACAAAACTTGTAAAATCAACCATTCAGGTATTCATATTTTATAAACAACACTTATAAAGATATAAAAAACATGCTTATCAAACAGACARCACAGGGCTGAAAGAAATAGCTTAACCTCTGGTTAATCAGGATTAAAATAACATCTGTACAATTGAAAAAGTGCAATGCTAAATCTAATGAAGTAAAATATAATTAGAATAAAGTCTTGAATTTGATTTTTTAAAAACACCATATACATATAAATTTCTGCTAAAAATTTCAGCATAATTTTATGAAATAAAAAGATCTGAGATTACATATTCAACATAAGGCAACATATATGAGATTAATACAATCATTTAAAATCARTCATTTAATACTAATATCTAGAATCCACACCAAAGAAAGAAATCACAGCATCACTGACCAGATAAAYTATATGAGTTATTGGCCACTTCTAGACCACATTAAAGCCCTGAGAAGCCAAAGTGCCTTAGATGAAAGTAATCACATCAGCATGAACACTGGTTGAGGACMTGGGAAATATTAAGCATACAGAAGATACATGTTTCTTCAAAAATGCAAATATTTAACATGGAAAAAGGGGAACAAATCCATCTGAATTATTGCCATAAGGGTGAATTCAGAGTTAAGTTTAACACAATGAAGAACTTTATAACATCTGAATGGATCTCATAATTATATAACACCTAAAATTAGGGATAAGCCTCGTAGTTGTTAAATAGCTATGTAATGTGAGTTATGCATGGCACAACCCAGCCATAGCAGAGATACATATCCAMGTCTAGAGAATTTCTTGCCATCAARATATTCAAGCATAGAACAAGTATTAAAGATGTTATAGAAAAAAATGTATGCATTAAGTGGGAGGCTGGAGATAACCCTCTGGTGGACATTTCCTGTTGAGGATCTCTGTGTGCACTGTACTGTTTTATGTTAATGAGACCTCAACCTTTGTTTGGCTGACCCAACATTCTTTGTTTGCCTTACTCTCAGCCCATTTACTCTARATGGTACCGACTGTACTCTCAGGTTCAAGGAGAACAAGTCAGGYTAAGCCAAAGAGTGGATTTCATTTCTCCACTCACAAAAACTAGTTCAAGGATGGAAGAGATAAATCAGACCAAGGAATGCTATAAAGGCTCAACCTAGACTTTTTTGTTCCTCTATCAGGGATGTAGGCTCTCTTTACTTCAAGACTAGTGAAATAATGTGATGCTGAAGCTGTGAGGGGAAAGGAAGGACATTAATCAATCTGGAAATGGAGCCAACCAGGAGAAAATGAATTGAAAAATGGATCCTGGTGATGTTGCTAGGGCCACCACATTCCTTGAAGTTTTCATTATGCAAACAAAAAAACTTTCTTTTTCCCTAAACTAGTTTGTGTTGGGTTTTCTCTCTTACTGGTAACAGAATCTTAGGCAACTCAACTTCTAAGGTCCCTTCCAAACCCCTGCAAAGAAATGACAAATGAAATAAAGGACACAACTTTAAACACCCCCAAATCCATGGCAAGGCTCACAGTTTAGTTAAGTGGGTGTGTAATGTGGATTCCATTTGATACAACCCAACCACAGTAGAGATATAAGAAAGAAAGGCCAAGGTGCAAGGCTTTGATTGCAGTCCTGATTTTAAGATAGAGTCCCAGGAACAGCTGTTACTGAGAGAAGTGCTACCAAGCCCCTGCTGAGAGGAATTTAATGATTAAAGAGCTGGAGCTGCCATGCTGCCCTAACATCAGGGCAGACAAGAGGCTCTTTAAAATTTCATTATTCCCTCCTGGCAATAGGCTTTTCCTACTTCTGCTAGAAGAAGCTCCTTAGAGTAGCCATATTGAAGTTAGGTACATATGRGAGGAAAATGGAAATCAAATTGACAAGGAAGTGGCAATCATTTTTCAGGAGGTTAAGTGGTTTATTATTATTAATAATATTACTTCAGTTGCCATGCTCATTTAGCAAAGGTTAAGTAGAAGAATAAGAGCTGATCAGGGCTATCAGATAATAATGATGAGTAATAGTATTTATAAAGATAGTTGATGCAATGGTATCAAAGGAATTTGGGGTACTAAATATTAATTAGGGATTATTAACTCCGACCACTGTCTGATTCATAAAAAAAATGATCATCTCCTAAGAGCTATGGGGTATAGAGTGCTTAGATTTGATTTAGAGCAAGCCATTATCTTATGAAATTTATAATTTTCTGAACTTAAGAAATAGAATAGGAAAGATTCTAAGAAAAATCAATAGTAGGATTTCTCACTACTCTGTCCAAACAGTATAGCAATAAGAATGTGATTTCCACCTAATCTTTAATTTACATTATCCCTCATTAGCACATCACATATTCTACTGGAAGGTGCTGTCTTCTTCTTCATACAATCCTTGGATTTTTAATGGAGAAGGAAAAATATGTACTCTAATTAATACAGAGTAACATATTTATACAGTTTTATAGATAGGTAGATAGGATGGTCTTGCATGACCAAACAACAGAGCCACATCTAATTTTTTTTTCTTTGAAGAAATACAAATTTATTTTCTTAAAGAAATAATTACAGAATAATCCACTTCCAATTCTCTTCATGAATAATAAAGCAGGGACTGGGTTGGAAGCAGAAATCTGAGGGTTGAAAAAGAATTTTTCTTAAAACTATGGATTACAAAGACAGCCAGAGGCCAACATGCAATACCAGAAACACAGAGAGAATGAGAGATAATGAATGTTCTTACATCTGACAGATAAAGATGAATTAGAAAGAAAAAACAGATTTAATGAATAAAATCAGCAGTTCACTATAAAGCATTGCATTTTCAATGGTACCCATTGGTTGATGCCATTTGCTAGGGTGAACACACCAGGGCTTTGGCAATGAAATGGAAATAAACAACTACATGATACTGGTTATCCAGATGAAAACTAGGTGCCAGGAAAAAATCAGTTCTTCAGATAGAACTGCCACATAAGCCACAGAAAATGTTCTTATATGGCTCTTTTTCATAGTTGTGTGTCATCTCCTACCCCAAGCTGGTCTTTATGGATCTCTCTTTCTATTGAACTATTCCAGCTTCTGCTGCTTACTTGGAATGAATATCTTGTTAAAAGGGAAACTTGGATTTTGTCCAATTTAGTTTTAGCCAGCTGAAACAGTATCAATGGGAGAAAATGATGCTGTAATTTTCTTGTCTGGTAAAACGTGTCTGGAAATCCATGCAGAAAATGTAGCAATATTCATTAAAATGACGAGTACAACACAGTGAATAGTGATAGTTTGCTTTTAAAAGCACTTGTTAAAATACCATTAGATGTTCAATAACAACTAAGATGATGTATGAATGGGAATTTTAAGTTTGGTTGTTTGCTTTGAACTCTGAAATAATCTCTTTYTCAGAATTCACTTCCAAGTGTGACAACTAGAAAGAACAATTAAATGGTAACAGTTACCAATCTGTTTTGAAATGATGCCCTATTCCATCTTCAAGTGCATAAAGAATACTGCATATATGTATATGTAGTAGAGTGAGTTTAAYATAAATAAGTTTGATCAACATCTCTGAAAGTGGATAAAACTGAATTATACATGTAGATCATCAATATTCCAAATGAGACCCTGTGGTTTTAAGTATGAAAGGAGAAGAACTGTTAGATTTAATTAATAAGATATTTTAAATTTTACCTTCAAATGTAAACTTGTGGTGAAATAAATGAATAAGAAGAACTAAAATAACCTGTTAAATTTTGGAACAAAGTTTTCAAAATTCAATCAGGTGAATGTGCTTATWAATCTATTAAATGCAGTATCACCAATTGGTTAAGGGGGCCCACTTGAGTGAGATGTAAAGGACCTGAAGCCAGACTCTGCCATTTGCTAACGTGACACTGGGAAAATACTTGGTCTTTCWTCTGAAAAATGAGTGGTAACAGAGCCTCCCTGTTATAAGACAATTTATGTAAATATTTATAACACTGGAAGGCCAACAGTAAGCATTCAATAAGTGTTGGGCATTTTCAGTAAAAATCCCTCTAAAGAGATAGTAGAAGACAGAATGAAAGGACAACCCAGAGGAAAAAGCAGGAAAATAAGACAGCCTTCATTTTCTTTGGTGCTCATTAAAAGAACAAATTCCAGTAAAAAAATTAATCTACATCAAAATGTGAGGGCCAAGGTATTGACCATCTGCACACATGTGGTGGCCAAACTGCTCCAATCACAGTATCCAGGTTAATTGTTATGTGCACCATGGAATGATGGAAAGACAGCCCAATGCACTCAGACTCATTTTGTATTAGGACAGGAAATGTACCAGTAACCTTCCTTAGATGGTTGTTTATCATTATTAACTTCTTGGTAGTCTTGAAATGTTTTAGCAAGTACAGAATGGACTACTTTTAATATTTTCCCCTTGGGAAGAGGAGGTAATTTCAAGGAGGAGGAAGATTGGTAAGATTTTCTTTCCATAAACTAGTAGGTGAGGCCATTCTGTTTTAAAAAATGCATAAGATTTCCTCTCTGGTAAGGAACACAGTCATACATTAAAAGAATAAAGATATAAATATATTTTTCTCATAAAAATCATGGAYAGAATATGTAGGATTATGTGCAAATATAAAACATACATTTAACCATATTCCTGGATTTTAGAATTAGAGAATGAGGGGAAGAAATAATCAAAGATATACTTCAATACACTTAGAATACCATCATGTTGCATGTCATTTGTTAATAATGAATCCTGGAAAACTTATCACTAGTGACTAACATCAGATAAGGAGAGCCATCCAGTGTTTGCATGTCTCTAGATGGATGTACCAGACACATTTTGTATAGTGTTCCTCCCCCAGCCCCAAAATCAAAATGAAAAATCAACATAATAGTCTTCTCATCATCATTCTTACTTTAATAAAAATGATATACACCACTTTTCATTTTCATTTAAGCCGTGAAGGAAAAATATTACTTACTTTCCATCCCAGACATGGTCTCCTCTGTGGAAAATCACCAAGTTATTCTTAGAGTCCAGAGCCACCCCAGAAACCTGGCCTGGCAACAGAAAAACTCCAGGCCAATCCAGTGCCTCCTCTACATGGAAATCTAAAAGATAAATCCATACATTTAGAGTAAAAACAAAAACTGGGGTAACTTCACCAATATTCACAATGGGCATAAAAAGCTCATGCATTAGCATCACTAGATGCAAAGAAATTGTCAAGCCATGCTCTACATAAATCATACCACATGCACATGCTAAGTAGCTTCTTGTGCTATGAAATGTTACAAGTGCCTGTAAACTTGTCTTGAAGCTATTTGTGTGTTCTCTCTCTCTCTCTCTCTCTCTCTCTCTGATAGTAAGATGCCTGCCTGACAATTTGAAACTTCTACCTTCTTGATATGATTCTTTCTTTAAATTGGAAACTTTGGAAACTATTGCAATGATAGATATGGCATCGTTTTAATATAAATTGGTTAAACGTTGTAAAGAAATAGTAAGAATGGGCAGTAAGTCTGTCACTTTTTTCTCTCACTCTTCTCTCTTTTGAGTAAATTCTGKATGTTCAATATACAATAGCGCTCATAACAAACCATTCATTGATTATCCCTTGTATAGAGAACATATAAGATATGAATCTCATTTCTCCTAGTGTACCTATAAAAATGAGACACTCTTTCCCTTTCTGTAATTCATTGTTGCCCACCACAAGACAAAGGAAAAAACAAAACAAAACAAACAAAAAAGCATCGAGAGTGAATGATTTCCAAGTTATTTTCATTTCTGATCAGAAAACATTTATCCTCACAGAAGACCAGGGTTCATTTTTGTTAGTCCCTTTCCTAAACATACTCATAAATAAACCGGTACAAGGTACAGAGTTGGAAAACTAACTAAGGATATATAATTATGAAGGTTACTGAGAAAGCTATTGTATCAGTGCCAATATTTCTTTCCCTCTCAAATGCTTCAACAGAGATGATGAAAAATAGCAATTCTAGTCTCATTTCTCCTTCCCACTCTCTGAAGAATGTGGCAACATGTAGTGGAATCCTCAAAAATAGGTATTAAAATGACTGATGAAAGAAGGGAAGCTCGGGGCTTGTATGATCAGCTCCTGAAAACTTGAGAGGATGAAGAGGTGAGAATAAGAACTTTAAAAAAACAATTCTGCAAAATATATAAAAAGAAAAAGTTCCTTTTTACTCAAATCATTTTTATCTTTCACATTAAATTTTTCTGTAATATAAATTAACAAAACAGTATAATCAATAAAAAGAGTAGACCAATCTGCCAACAACCTTTGCTGAAGCATCTTTGACAAATATTTCCTAAGTGTGTTTTCTAAGTGTGTTTACTAGATTTCTGGAAACTATACTAGATTCTGGAAACATAAAGAAGTAAAATGTGTTTTTTTGGCTTTGACAAATATAAAGMTATAATAGAGATATTTTAAAAAACAGGATGGGAATGTAATAGGATACAATAAGAACCAAATACTTTTGACACAATAGTGCAGGAAGACAGGCATCAGTCTAYACTTCTGACYGAAGTTTGCTTGGGCTGGACTGGGGTGGGGTAAAGGTCTACTTGGGAGATCTCCCAGAGGAGCAATATTTGTGTGGGCACTAAAAGGTAAGGGGGTGGAGCTTGCTGAGTATAGAGAGGGCAGAGAATAGTCCACTCAGAACACAGGAGGATGTTTATGATTTCAGAATGTGTTTCAAGATGTTTAGAAAACTGGAGAGGAATCCTGTCTGTGCTTGGTGTTTTGGGGAGAGGAGGCAGGCAAGGGGCAGGATAAGCCAACTCTGAGATCTGCTTTGAAATCAGAGAAGAAAATTATTGCATTGTATACTACACAATGAGACATTTAACAATGAGAGTCTGTAGTTTTCAGCTGTTGTGTTTTGACCTATGCTATGATTATGCTTAAGGGATACTGCAAGTACATTATAAGTAGCATAAAGCACAGAGTTGTGGAACAATTTACTTTTGAAATACACCTGAGCTCACGAGGATGTCATTTTCATTCATGTGTATTATGATATGCCTTCTTGAGTTAAGAAGATGAGGCAGAGTTGGCACACCTGAACTGGTATATAACACGGGGCATAGCAGTGGATCTGAATGGAACTGTAGATGAATAGCATGAATTGTCTATCATGCTTGATTGTCAAAGCAGGAAAAAGGGTTGCAAACTGCTGCCACAGGCAATTGGGAACCACACAAAAGGTTTTAAAGCATGAGGTGGCATGATTAAAACTATATTTTTTTAAAGTTAACTCCAGAAATAAGGTCTAAGAATTATAATCAGAGACAACAAGATAGCTCAATGGATAGATACATCATTTCCCCAAGAAAATGATTTAAGTAGTTTGAAATTGCTTGAGATACAGGTTGTACTTTGTTCATTCTCAGCTTGGTTATAGTGTGACTATTTAGTTGCCACTCTGTTATACTCACTCCCCAACTGCAGAAACTTCTGTTGGTACTCCACATGATTCTCAAGGTTGGTGACAATATAGATACTTAATTACTTTTATGAGAGTCTCACATCCCAGAGCCATTACAACTAGGTARAATTCATCCAAGGCGGGAATCACATCTCAGTGTTTGGTCAACAAATCTTGCACAGTGCTTGGCCACAGTATGGCCTAATACATGGACTAAACTGAGTCTATGCTCCAGTCTCTACCTGTTTATGTTGTGAACTAGTATTTACAYACCCTTATTATCTTATAATTCACTTGTATGGCCACTATTCATTCCTAGAACAGAGCTGATGATAGTGTGAGGATACTGAATAAAAATGTGAATTGTTTAATTACTCTCATTTAATATCACAGCTCCTGGGACCTTTCTGTTCAGTGTTCCACCAAACAGTACTGGGTGCTAAGTACTCATGAAGGTGCAGAGAAACTAATTCTGAAGGAATATGCCAATGTCACCAAAAGTTCTTTGTTCTGGGACCAAAAATGGAATTCATAAAATATTGGAAGTAACATGTAAAGAACTTTAATATTGTTGTGAATTTTCAAACTATCAAACACCTCTTAACTGGTTAAGAGCTTGAAAAGTCTGCAAAAAAGCATTGACACATGGATTGTTTTGAGCCTAATCATACCTGTTATAAAAATATTGGTTTGTTACATAAAAGAATAATTTTTGGTTGAAAAATTTTCAGGGAGGAAAGGCAGTGTGAACACCTAGAACATATTCATTAAAATATCAACTTTTGATAGATTTTCAGTATGGCAAAGGTGATGTATAAGGAAACGTGTGAAGTCTAACACCATGAATAATCTGGTTGTTTTAGTATCAAATATATAGAAAAGTTATTGAATTGTATTTGACTTTATTTAAAATACTTTACATTTATTAAGATTACCTAGTTAAGAGTTTAAAATTTATAGAATATGGGTATCCTTATTTGCCAGAAATTCTAGATAGCTAAAGGAGAACCCAGTTCATGTTCTCCTCTGTGAATGTTGATCCAGGATGTTGATGCCTCAGGGTCACTGGTTCTTTTTTATTTTCTTTTCTTTCTTTTCTTTTTTTTTTTTTTGGTTAGGCAATTCAAGGTTATTACTTTTAAGATTAAATGATCATGAATTAAGTCTGTCATTTAAAAGAGTGGTATAAGTAGATGGAATTAATACAACTGTTTTTCCCTTCCCTGATTGTCACTACTTGAGAATCACACAACACTATAAYGGTATTGGAATCATCCTGTCATTTTCTCCTTTGATGGGAAGACAAGTTTAGCCTTGAGCCAGACTTCAGACCCCATCATCAAGAATGATTATTTAAAAATCTCCAATTAGGGCTGGGGATGTGGCTCAAGCGGTAGCG